ACGCGTCAGAATAGCGTCTAACGTTCTGAAGAACATATCCTGATCTTGCACAGGCACTCCTCGAGATGCTTGTTCTTCACCTTGCCTGGCCAGGGTAGGTGAATTACTGCTTTCAGCAGGCCTATCTTCTCCCGCTTCACTTCGGGAGCTATTATGTCCGGACATCTAGTAAAAATAAACACATTGTTCTTTAAGCAAAACAACATACTCATGTTATACCATATCAGAAGTTCTCACTATATGTTGGCATGTACTCCATTTAAAGACTCTATAGACTCTGGTTTATGCCTAGAATCGGCTAAACCATAGCTCTGATACCATTAAATGTAACACCTTCAACCTATATCTGACCCGGATATGAGTCCAGGATGTCACATTGACTATACAAAACAATATTCTTAAAAAAACGATAAAACATTTGAACTTATATTATTAAAATACAATAATATACATATGTTAATACAAGTTTATCAAAATATTCAGAGCTTACACGACTTGACCCTTTGATTATATGCCAACATTCATTTACAGAACAGAAGGACCTACTGCTTAAGTTGCTTCTGATCTGATAGTTGAAGGAGTAATATTGTCCAGCTACTTAACCTGTCTCGGCTACTTTCTTGGATCCTACGTGTGAAATACTCACACGCTAAGTCATCGACTTAGTGAGACAATATAATAATAACAATAACAAATAACTGTAATGGAAATGCCATAATGAAATGGAATGAGATGAAATCAAATGCTTAACCATGCAGTTTATATCACCATGTTCTTTACTTGTAAGCATAATATATTAACATTCATGAATTCATATTAATAAGATTATTGGCCCATGATACCATACTGAGAACCTAAGATATGTAAGTACTGTGAGGCTGTGCACTATGCTGTCACCACAGCTCGTATAAATGCACCGAAGTGCCACGTAGAATTGCACCGAAGTGCCGCGTAGAATTGCACCATAGTGCCATATAAGATTATCCCTAAGGACCACGTAGAAAATTTCCTTAAGAATCATATACATATGCCAAGGATCACGTATGTGTCTTAAAAGACCTCACACATGTTCCAAAGAATACATATATGTCCCGAAGGACCGCGTAGACCTTCTACTCTTGGCATGCCAACTATACCTATAGTTCTCATGTACATAACATGGGCTTTTACCATTCCCATAATTTATATTATATAGACATATAATTTCCATACCTTTATCACATAAACATATCATGTTCCATCACTTTATCACATAGCTTATATAACATTTCTTGCATATTCATATCACTTAATGCATATAATATGAATTCATATAATGTATCATAATATGAAATGCGATCATGTATCAAAATATTGAATCTAGACTTATCACAAGTCTAGAACTGAATAGAATACTATATTCATGCTATGCATATGCACTCACCTATATTTCCTTGCTTTTTCCTCGATCGATCTTATGAGGTAATTATTCTGGAGCTTGTTCAGGCTCGGTATCTACAGAGTAATTTATTGATGCTAATCAATATACTAATTAATGTATTCTAAACTATTATTTCTTGGGCTAAAAGAAAAGTCATTTTCATCTTTTAATGAAGGTATGCATCGATGCACCACACCATGCATCGATGCATAAATCCTATTAGATGTTTATATTTAAGGGGGTGCATCGATGCACTGATGGCATTCGATGTTTGTATTTTAAAAGAGTGCATCGATGCACTTCAGGTGCATCGATACACCTTAAACAAATTTCTGGGATTTATCCTTGATGCATCGGTGCACATTGAATGTGCATCGATGCACAAAGCCCATAAATGTCATTTTAGTACGAAAATCTCTTTATAAACCTCTCAACACTTTATATTTCACCTCATTTTATATCCCTAACTTGCATACACTTACTTAAACTAATTATTGTCCATTTAATACTTCTAAAACTTAGAAATCCAATTCTCCATATGGAATTTAAGAATCTCACTCAAATTCCAACATGTTCCAATTTTAATTCTAACACTTCCTATTCCTTAATTAGCTTGATGACAAGTCAAATCTCACTTCCAATTCTTATTATGAACTCTATTCCAAGATTTCACTTTTCTACTTCCTTTCTTTAATCCATCATGTATTCCTCGTCTTATTGTTTTAAGATAATCTAAGCTTTCCTTAAGCTTAGTTATCATCTAATGATCAATAAGCAACCTTAAATTCATCAAGAATTTGCTCAACAAGAAAACTCACCTTTAGCTTGGTCTCACGGGGAAGAAAAAGAATGAAGAAGAAGAGAAATTTGGAAACTTTGGTCTTTCTCCCTGGCTTCCACGTGGTTTATTAAATAACCTTAAGTAATATTTAATTATTTCTCTTGCTAAAAGACTCATTTGCCCCCTTAATTTCCCTTCTTTGCTTATCCATCCTACATGAAACATTCCTATTAAATCTTTCAACTATTCAATTTATCTACTTTGGTCACTAAATTTTAAAATTTCACAATTTGATCACTAACCCGGTATGAAGGATGTTACAAAAGGGTGTTCAAGTTTGGGGGACTATAACTTAATTTACCAAAAAATTAATATGAAACCTCCAAGTTGTAATTAGTTTATATTAAGTTGACTGCTCAATTTGTCTCTTTTTGTGCGGAAAAATCAAGTTTCACCTCCCTCTTAAAGCTTATGTTTACAACCATAACAAAGCAAACAATGCTAAAACATGTCTTGCAAAGGTTCGACTCACCTCAACATCATTTGTGTCGTATGCTGAAGCAGTCCCAAATTCATTTCCCAAAGAGAAAAATGGTAAAAAGACATACATTTCATCATCTTCCAAATGCAAAGCAGTCGGAACAACAACAAAAGTAGACAACTATTTCTTTGTAATTTTCTTCCTTCTTTGAAAGACAGTCTACTGTTAGGCCTCGATGAATTTGACCCACGAGGGTAAGAACCCCACCTCTATTCTTTGGTGGAAATGAAAGTTCGAGCAATGTGGGATTTAAGTTCACATTTATTTTCTATGAACAGGGAGACAATAGTTAAACTTTTGAAAGAAATCTGTAGCAAACCAGGCGTTGATTGCACTAACTTATTAACAAGTTTTACAGGACATAATTGTTGCTTGAACTCTTCCATAGTAATTATGTTTCTAGTTCATGAGCCTCAACCATCGGCAACAAAGAACATGGTCTATCTGGCTCAGAGTAAGTAATCCATAAAACCCTTTTGAACAAGCCACAAAGATTCCAGTTTTAAGAACTTCTCTGCTGAAAATTTTCTGGGGTTAATTAACCAGTGATTAGACAAGGGACCATAACGATGTACGATTACATTGACGTGGTCGAAAATATGAAACATTATGGGCAACCGACGCCTCCGACATACAACATGACCGGCATTCCAAATGACTTCCCTCTTTTCGTCAGCTATGGAGGGGCGGATGCTCTTGCTGATGTAAATGATGTGTATACAACATCATCTTACCCCATTGTTGTTGATGTTGCTGAGCTGTTTGAAAGTAGTCCATATCCCACATCGGTGGTTCTTGAGGAATAAGGGGTAAAGAGAGTATATAAAAGGGGATGAGTTTCAACAATTGAAAATTAACCTGACTTCGAGCTTCAATCGAGCTTGAATCGAGCTCAAAGTCGAGCTTGAATTGAGCTCAAAATCGAGCTTCAATCGAGCTAAGTCTTGAGCTTCGGTTGAGCTTTTGATTTTTTTTGAGTTCGAGCCTTTTCGAGTTCGAGTCGAGTTTTAATATTATCTTTCGAGTTCGAGTCGAGCTTGAAAATTTTAGGCTCGCGAGTTTTCGAGTCGAGCTTACATTTAAAGTTTTCGAGTTCGAGTCGAGCTCGGCAATAGTTGAGCTCGACTCGGCTCGTTTACACCCCTGGGTGCGATGAAGGTGTCCTTGTTCTGTGTTAGTTTATGGGCTCCTTTTTCTTTTGGTTCATTAATTTCATTTCGTACGGGTATAATTTAATATTTCCCCTTAGTATAAAACTATGCGCTTAAATTATACCTATAATTGAGATTTCAGATTTGATGTTTAAATAATTTGAGTTAAAAATAATTATTTAATATTTTTATTATATTTTTAAGTGTTTATTTAAAAAAATCGTTAAATAACATAAGTCAGTTAAAAAAAATAATATTTTAAATAATATTTTATTTAAAAAAAATTAAAAATGATATATGTCATTTAATAATTTTCTTACGATATGTATTAATAAGTATAACGAAAAAATCATTAGACATATACTTTTTAGTAAAATATTTATACATAATATTTTTACTTTTAAATATTTACTTTTATAGTAAACCTAATATTTTTATACATAAAATAATTTGTTAATGTTTCGAAAATACTGTATAAAATGTAAAATATTTTTTCCCATTTTAACCTTTTAAATTTGGAGTATATTATATTATAAGCCACTAACTTATCATATTCTTTTACTTTGATTATTAAATTATTTTTTATACTATTCTTGTTACTAGAGTTATATTTTCTGTCTTAATCATATATCATCAAATTTTAACGATAATTTTTTTCATAAAATATATAATATTTAATCATTAAATTAGAATATAAAATATTATATATTTTTTAAATTAATATTTGACTTGACTGTGATTAAAATTAAAAATTAAATAAGTATTATTCAATTTTACAAATACATGCCCTCATAGTTACCAATTGAAGTACAAGTAAATTTTAAATGGATATACATATACTTTAAAAGATCAATACTATGTATTGATAGGATAAGTTAGAGATTATTCATTAAAGATGTATCTTGAATCTAATGACATCTATTAAACTGCGAACGAAAATAGTTATAATACTAAATTTCACAAGTTTAATAATCCACATGTATTCTGCTATAATTCATGTGATTAATGAATTAATGTTGTTTTTTGATGTTTTGAGTTCGAGCATCAGAAATGTTAAAAATATGAGTGTTAAATATTGAATGTATGAAAGTTATTTTTTCCTTGTACTTACTCGATATTAATCAGCTCCACCACCATCGACTTGAACTCGTCCGCCTGTGGATCGGCGCCCCCGCTGCCGTCTCCGAACACCCTTTGCCCCATCATGACTCGCCCCAGAGCATTCACATTGCATACGTGCAAAAGTTGGCCTAAATCCAACTTTGTTGTTGCACTTGCCAAAGCTCGTACAAGCACTTTTGTCTCCTCCTGTTGTCAAATCAAAGTTCCATTATTGCATAAAATAAGATCAAATTTTCAGGTTCTACTTTTACCAACTAAAATATAAACAATCAAATGTATGAAGTTTATGATATATGAACTGTCGTTGCCCAATAATTATAAGGGAATATTAATTTTCTTCCATTTGCAGTCCAGATTATACGTAAAGTGACCGAGTAAACCTGTCGAACGTGTCTGAAGTCATCCAAAGCCTTGCCGGAGAATAAATGAACATAGCAAATTTTAAGTAATAGTCGCCACCTCGGCCCATACGGTGCAAACGCAAGGTCCTTATAGTTATACGCCACATATTTGGCACCAGCGTTCGGCGGCCGGCTCGAAAAGTTAAGAGTCATGGACTTTCAAGAACTGAGAAGCCACGGAGGCCGACGCCGCCACCACAACATCCACGGACCCTAACTTAAGGTGCATGAGAGGGCCGTAAACTTTGGCCATTGCGGCTAAGCCTTGGTGAGGCATAGTGCTCATATGTGGCAAGTTGCCGATTATCGGCCATGGTTTTGGACCAGCACGGAGCCGTACTGGTGGTTTAGATACTAAACGCATAATTTACCTTAAATTTTAAATAACAATGAATTAAAATAATTTTTTTTTTAAAAAAATCAATAAAGTACACATTGAATGTAACAAAGAGAATAACACACTCAAAAATAGAAATTTGTTCAGTTCGTTGATAAATATAATATTAAATTTTAACAAAATTAAAAAAATAAATTTAAATTAATTAATCCACCAACCACAATTACATTAAGGGTGTGTTTGGATGGAGGATTTTAGGATTCCTGGTAGGAATATTTTTTTCCTAACTAAGGATACCCATGTTTGGTTGAGTATTCTTTCCCAAGTGCAGGTAATATTTATTTCCCAATCGTGAACATTCCTGGGAATGTTATTCCCCCACACCCATTAGGTATTATTTCATTCCGTGTGTGAAGGGCTAAAATACCCTTGTTTTCCCGTTTCCATCGCGATATCTTTGTTTTTGCCTTTGCAATCACCATCACAAGCGAAGCATCACGCCTGTTTCCAGACACCAACATGTATGTCTCTCTTCTCCTTCACACTCCATTTTCGTGATCTAAAACCATCCATTTGTGTGCCATTTTCGCAGCAACATGCTTTTTTGAAATTCCATCAACTTTATCTCCGTTTGGGTGCCATTTTCATCTCTGTTTGTTGTTGTTGTTTTTGTTTGTTTCTGATGGAAAATCCATCGACTGCTGTTTTGCTAATTTGAATCTGATTTTTTTTGTTTTCATCTCTGTTTTTTTTTGTTTTTCTGTTTTGTGTATGAATATGAGATTCTATTAAGGAAATTGTTGATCCAATTCCTTTTTCACTAATTATGATTGAAACTTGTCAATGTTCTACTTTGTGGAAGATTTTTTTTTTTGGTTCTGTCCAACAGCAGACTTATAATATGTAAAACACAAACATAAATCCTTTTTGGGGGTTTACAAACAATAATTTTCCTAGTAAAATGTCCTAATTGGTTATAGGCTACATTATTTTTAAGTTTTTCTTCCATTTCTTAAGTGATGCTTCCTCTTCTATGTAGAATTCATCCAACCCTGATGGTTATAAGGACCCTTTGGAGGGTCATTTTCACAAATCAGAAGGTTTTCTTTGTTGAATTATTTGCTCTCTGTTATACGCTTTTTATTGGTCAAGCTATTTTCAGGGGAAAGGTTTAATATCATTTTCCCCCTTTTGCTTCTTTTGGTGCTGAAATGTGAATGAGTTCCAAGGTAGATAGTTTTGTTGAAATCAGTTTACAGTGGCCAAAAGTTCTTTTCTCTCTCATAAGGTTTTCTTGAACCAACTAACGTTTAGCTTTTTATGTAATATTCTACTTCTTTCCTGCATGTGTTACCAATGCTAGTCAGATCACAGATGAGTTCTATTTGCTAGATTTATCCTTATTTGTCTGTAAAAACTAGTTCTTCATTGCACATTTTGCAGAGTTGTTCGAAGTCCCGATTGTTCTTGTTCAGTAGATTAAGTGTCAACTTTTGCTTTTGGATTTTATTATGGGTTTCACGCTTTGTTCAAGAGATATGGCTTCCCACCCATATTTTTTTCCATAATATGTTAAAGGCAATTGTAGAATGTGAATAACCATTGTTGGTATTAGCATGCATTCTATGTGCTATGCAGAATCAAGTGACCTGCCAAGGCTAGTAACTCCTTGAACTATTTTTTCAGTAACAACTGTTGGGGGTAAGGTCTTGTAACTCTGGGTTAAGTGCTACTCATTGGTATTAATCTAACATGGGTTTTCATTATTTTTGAAGTTTCTACATATATTTCATTTAAGAGATCACTTAGGTGCTTTAGGTAAATGAAGAGTCCAGGTAACACAGATAAGATGTGAGGATTTTTTTGCAGTTCTAATGGTCAGTTGAAAGTTTCAGTCTAGCATCTTTAAGGAAGGCTAAATCATGAAAAGTTACGTTATAAGATTGCATTTTATCCGTAAACATATTTTGCAAGACATTCAATTTCTCCCTGATTTCGTCTTAAGAATAGTCATTAAAATATTCACGTTTCAATAGGTTGTAGATGAAAAGAATCAAGTGACCTGCCAAGGCTAGTAACTCCTTGAACTATTTTTTTTCAGTAACAAGGGGTAGGGTCCTGTAACTCTGGGTCAAGTGCTACTCATTGGTATTAATCTAACATGGGTTTTCAATATTTTCGAAGTTTCTACATATATTTCATTTAAGAGATCACTTAGGTGCTTTAGGTAAATGAAGAGTCCAGGTAACACAGATAGGATGTGAGGATTTTTTTGCAGTTCTAATGGTCTGTTGAAGTTTTAGTTTGGCATCTTTATGGAAGGCTAAATCATGAAAAGTTACGTTATAAGATTGCATTTTATCTGTTAACATATTTTGTAAGACATTCAATTTCTCCCTGATTTCGTCTTAAGAATAGTCATTAAAATATTCACGTTTCAATAGTCATTTTATCTGTTTAATATCATTTTTATTGTGTTCAATTATTTTTATTGTGATGACAAACAATTGTTCTTGTTAAATATTATTATTTTCTAATATTAAAATGTTTGTTCATAATAACAGTTATGGATCGTTTACCAATGCGAAAGAAGACGCATATCGCCACAATTCTTATTTTACAACTGCAAATGATGGAGATTATGTGTCATATGCTTATAGTTATTTCAGTTATTCTTAGAAAATATAAAAATCGACCTAAAATAACTTATGCACATGAAAGACTTCATAGACATAATATTAGATCACTTAATTTACATAAAATTGTACTTGAAAGTGATCGACAAAGTGTTGATAATTGTCGAATGGATAGGAGAGCATTTATCAAATTGTGTCACCTATTACAAAGTCAATGTGGGTTAAAAGAGAGTCGATATATGTCTATAGAAGAAATGGTTATTACTTTCCTTCATATTATATCCCACCATATTAAGATTAGAGTTTTAAAACGTCAAACAGTAAGATCTGGTGAAACAATTAGTAGAGTTCTTCATACAGTGTTAGCTTCAGTCTTGAAACTGCATCCGATCCTTTTTAGAAAACCATAACCAATACAAGATAATTCAACAGACGATAGATGGAAATGGTTTAAGGTATTGTATCATAATTCTGAACTTTCTTTTAAGTTAATTTAGTAATGCTTAATATATAAATGGATAGTAATAATGCAATTTAACTTTATTTGATAAATATAGGGATGTTTGGGTGCTCTAGATGGAACGTATATTAAGGTCAATGTAGCTGCAATCGATAAACCTAGATACAGAACAAGAAAAAATGAAATTGCGACAAATGTACTTGGTGTTTGCACACCAAACATGCAATTCATTTATGTTTTACCTGGGTGGGAAGGTTCTGCAGCTGATGGTAGAATACTCAGAGATGCCATTAGTAGAAGAAATGGTTTAAATGTTCCACAAGGTAAATTATTAGGTCATTAATATATATAAAAGAATGTAAAATTCTTACAAGTTTTGTATATTAATTTATTTTTAAAATTAAAATAATATAGGGTGTTACTACTTATGTGATGCTGGATACACGAATGGAGAGGGATTTCTTGCACCATATAGAGGTCAAAGATACCACTTGAATGATTGGAGAGAAGGACATCAACCTACCACCCCTCAAGAATATTTCAACATGAAACATTCTCAAGCTAGGAATTGCATTGAGAGATGCTTTGGCATATTGAAAGCGAGATGGACAATTTTAAGGGAAAAATCATTTTATCCAGTGAAACACAATGTAAACTTATTTCAGCTTGTTGTATTCTCCATAATTTCATAAGATCTGAGATGCCAATCGATCCTATTGAATCTGACTATACTGAAGATAGTAGGCATGTTGAAGAGATTAATGAAGTAGAAATGATCAGACATTGTGAGCCAAGCAGTGCTTGGACTGAGTGGAGAGACAAATTAGCAGAAGATATGTTTACTAGTTGGTTGGCATCACGTACTTTAGGATAGATGTTATTTTATGTTATGTATGACTTCCACCTTCTATTTTATCTAATGTTAGTGGTCATTACTTTCATGTATTTGACATCTTTATATTTTATGGCATAAACTTTATTAAATTTTATGTATTTTTCTTCTATAAAATTCGAATTTTATTTGTTATGGACATTTATTACTTATGTCATTCACTACATTTGATTTATATTATGTTACTATTTTAAATTTCTTTTATGATTAGTATTGACAATGATGACATGTTTTATGTTATACATTTTTTATATACATCTTCTTAGATTGTTTTGAAGAGAAATATGTCAACATCAAATATAGAATCTCAAAGGGGGGAAAAACCGCCGACATCTAGAAAGGCTAAGTCTTTAGTAACTAAAAGGACATGGACTAAAGAGGAGGATGTTGCACTTGTTGAATGTTTACATATTTTGGCTGAAGACCCACATTGGAAAGCTGATAATGGAACATTTAGATCAGATTATCTATTTAATCTTGAAAATATGTTAGAAATCAAGCTTCCAACATAACAAATTAGGGCCCATCCACATATTGAATCTAGAGTGAAGCTACTCAAAAGACAATAAAATGCTTTATCTGAAATGATGAATATTGGAAGTGGATTCGGTTAGAATGAAGAAGAAAAATGTTTAACTGCACCAAAAGATGTGTTTGATGATTGGGTTAGAGTAAGCATTTTAATTGAATTTATCTTCTTTCTATACTCTTTGTTATCTACTTAGCTTTGTAAGATTTATTAATTTTGCGATTTTATTATATTGTAGAGTCATCCAACTGCTGCTGGATTGAGAAACAAGTCATTTCCATTCTTTGATGACTTTTTTCATATATTTGAAAAAGAAAGAGCTACAGGAATAGCAGCGGAGACAGCAGCTGATGCAGTGGAACATATTGATGTTGAAGACAATGCATTTATAGATGCATTACTTGAAGAAGAGGGAGTAAGAGATTCTGAATCAAGAGAGGATATTGGTCCTTCAACTTGCCAAACA